TATAGTTTATAAGTAATAAATTGAAGGGAGCGTAAGTCTGGGAATAGAGCAGCGTTGCCAAAGTGGGTTCAGATGCACTGAAAGTTGTCAGTGTGTTCTAAATCTGAATTTGCTGTTAGGTGTTGCATGGATATCGCTCTTAACAAACTTGTTTTACTCACATATAATATTGAAAATAAAATACATTATTTATTAAAAAGAGTTTACACACGTATTATTTCTAATCCTCTTCGTCGCTTTGTACCAAATTGTTGCTTTTGCAGTGGTTACATTTAATTCTAGTTTCACTATGTTCTTGGCATACAAAATTGTCACAGTTGCCACACATCATCGATGTAAATTTATTTTTTTGTCTTCCGCAAATAGTACAACGTCCACGCTTTTTTCTAGGTTCATCTTTTGGGGTTCAACTTCTGGATGCTTATAAGATTTCAGAAATAATTGAATATCTGAAGGTAGATTTAAAAGTTTCGATCTATCCTCTAGATGAGGCTTCATTAGTTGAAACGATAAATTTTTGAGAAAGAATCGCCTTTGGGCTTTCTCATTTTTTGGGTTACTTACAAATAAAATTTGTGCATTAATTCCTGCAACATTTAATAAAGCATAAAATAATGCTAACGGCCATCTCCTAGTTGTACGTGATACAGAATACCCACTACATAATTGGTCAACTGTATCTACGCCACCTTTAGTCATATTATAATCAAGTATTATTTGCGGTTTTACCTCTTTAATCTAAGGATTTTCCAGACTCATGAATTGTACCTTAATCATGCATAGTAGAAAGCAATACTACGGCTTTTGATTTTTTTGGAACATATGATACCATAGTCACTTCTTGTTGAAAACCGTGACAAGATGACCTCACAGCTCTATTCTTGTGTGGCAGAAATTCGGGAGGTATTTCTGCCTTATTTTTTCGCATAGTTCCAATCATCGTTATTTTATCTTTCAAAAGTGAACATGCTAAAGGGTAACTAGTATACCAGTTGTCAGTGGTAAGGTTGCGGTTAGTTCCTTTTATATGTATAGTAAGTCTATGTACTATATCATACGGGCTGTTGGATAAACAATATTGTCCTTCTGGTTGTTTGCCACAATAAACTTCAATTGCGCTTGTATAATATGTTTTTGCGTCACAAAGTGCAAATATGTTTAGTCCGTACTAAAATAACAGGGGAATATTTACATTTCTTGATCTATTAAACAAAACGATAAATTATCTCGACGAATGACACCATGTTCTAGTACGGAAGCTAGCTTTACATTTTTGTTGGTGGTTTCATGGGTTTCATATCAATTTTTTGTAATTGTAGTTTACACGTACATATACCTCTTAACACTTGTTTGCTTTATTAAAAAAGTGTTGTTGTGATTTACGTCGAAATAAGTCAAAAACAACTTGAAACCCCATATAAAATCAAAAAGGAGAAACGGAAAAAAATTGAGCATGTAAATGAACACAACTCAGAAACAAAAATAGCTATCTAATAATAAAAAAATAAAATTTGATTCTTGTGCAGCTTCATCTATATCATTAATTGTTTTTGGTTTTTTAATGGTTTTTCTTGGTGATAAACATTCCGATATCTCACGGTTATCGATTCTTTTTTTCTCTCCAGAAATGCGGACGACAGTGTTTTTAGATACTCCTGTGGCTGCAGCAATAGGATCATTTACATTTTTAAATGGTATTGAAGGTGAATTAAAGTTTCCTTCTCTTCTCATAAACTCTATAACATTGGCTATTATTTCGCGAGATTGACTGTTAATCACGCGGCCTCTTAATTTGCTATTAAACTCCATATTTAGGTTCTATTAAACTGTAATGAGCAAAAAACACAAACGAAAATAAAAGAAATGTTTTAGCGAAATTTACATCTGACATTTACGTCTGAATGAAATAGTGAAATACTTGATGCGCAGAGTGTACTTTCATTGCGTAAATCCGTCGGGATGCCTGTCAGTAGTGCTTTCTCTGTCTAGCCGTCGAAAGCCTCTAGAAATTTGATGAACTGTATATAACAAAATATATGAATTTGGGACTCAATCACATTAACACTATTTAGCCTTAAACTTGGCTTCGTAGTCCTTAACTGTATAAGAGTTCTACTCTTGATGTTAGAAACTGACACGTCTCTGTAAAAGGGCTGAAGGAAACACAATGTTTTCTCAAAACAAATATAATATTATAATTACAACGATTATATAAAATATGTCTCAACTCGACATACACAACTATAGGCTCAATATAGTATAAAAGACAACAAAATACTTACTTACCAACTCCGCTAATCTTTGGGGCACATGTCACAACCCTTAACAAACCATTTAAAAATGTAATTATTTGAAATACTAAAAAACGACTTTTAATTTAAACTATAAAGATTATGACCTGAAGCTGCTACAGGGAATCTCCTACAAGGGGGATCTCCTAAAGGGAGGATCCGTTCCCTGTGGAAAAAGCCTCGTGCATCCCCTCGACATTACCTTTATAACTTTCTCATAGTTTATTGTTATTAAAACTAATGTTTAATAATTATTAAATAACCAACCTTGCACATTATTGCTATTTAAAACAAATTGTTGACATAATTAAACAAAGTTTTATGTACAGGATGTTATTTAAATAATTAATTAAAATTTAGGAAAAATATGAATTTATACGAATCGTGACAATATGATTCAAACTCAATGACCTAATGGGGAAAGGTTGATTCTCACTATACCTTTCGTTTCGTTCCGTTTTTTATATAAAAAATAAATTATTTCTTCACAATTTTTAAAACTCTTGGGTGAACAGTTTTTCTTTACTCATCATCCAAAATTAAAAATCTGATATGTCCAACACATGATTTTCCTGTCTAATTATTATAGGCTTCTTTCGGTTATTTTGTACAATGTATTGTATCACCCTGTAAATGTTTAGAAGATGAACTAAATACATACATTTTCTACACACATTTTACTCGAACCATTTTTTTATATACAGGGTGTTCCACATAAGAACAGGAGCGTGTTAGGCACCCCAAAATATGATGATTTAACGCAATTTACCTATATACCAATTTTTACCCCTAAGGAAACCTAAAGTGGGGTCAATTTTCCTTAATTTTTATTATATAGATATTATTATTATATTATTTTTAATTGTGTTGTCATTTAAATCGATTTTATTAAAAGTAATTTGCTATTTGTTACATTAAAAGAGTAAAAAAGTTTTAAAATAAAATGAAATGAAACCAATAAATAAAAAAGTTCTGTATAGTTATGAAGTGGGTTACCCCAAAACCACCCCTTAAAATATTTCAATTAATTCTTACTCACTCCAAAATTAAGACCCATGAAGCGCTTAAATAATTTACCAAATATACATTTTTAAAGGTAACCGTTTGCAGAGATATTAAATCTTTTTGAAATTTATGGCGCCACTTTAGGCTTCCGTAACTTCTTAGGGGTACAACTTTGTATAGAGGTAAATTGCATTAAATCATTATATTTTGGGATGCCCAACACGCATCTGTTCCGTATCGATACTTATGCGGAACACCCTGTATATTCATTGCCAACGAAAATATTAAAAAAATTAAAATTTTACTTTCCTTAAATTTCGTTTTTTTTTTATTTATTTTCCCATTGCGGTCCATTTTAGAGAAATTTTGTATAGAACATAGAGAATGCTATCGCAAATAACTATTATTTGAAGAATTTTCTTCTCCAATCTTAAATAACAGATATTTTTTTAAGTAAAAGGACACACCCTATAAGTTCCCCCTCCCCCCAGATGCTTCGACTATGCCTAAAATTTATCATTTCAACGCAGGATAGATTAAAGATTAAGTTTAAAATTTGGCGTTTTTAATAAATTCGACAATTTTTCTCAAACATCTGGAATACGGTCGATTTTAGGGAAATCATGGAAATCATTATAAAAAATGACCACAAGCAACTTTTTATTAAACAATTTTCTTAAAAATTCGAATTTTGCACTTTTGTAAAATTTCTCGAATTCGGACCATTTTAAGAATAAATTCCACCTGTCAGTTTGTTAGTAACTAACTAAGTGTTACCAACTGACACATTTTGCAAAAAATCCCCTACTAACAACAAAAAAATGTAAAAAACTATAAATCCCAAAATCAAGAAATAGTATATTACACACCGAGGTGGGAAGAGTTTCCTTCCTGTCGTGAGATTAGGTAGATCACCGAGACGCGAAGCGTCGAGGTTAGCTATGATCTCGAGACAGGAATGAAACTTCCTACCGAGGTTTGTATACTATTTTATTTACAACCATCATATTTCGATCAAAGTTAATAAATCTCTGTTTTGTTCTGAACATACCTAAAATATTACATTTAACGATAAATTGCCAAGCGCGCGATTTTCTCAGAATAATCAAGTAAGTAAATATATTGTTACTGTGATTACGGGGTAAACAACTGTCACTAATATAAATAAATGTCAGATAAAGCCGGATATTAAATTCGCGAATAATAAATATCAATAAGTAGTTTGTTATATTTTGGATAATTGTTGTTTTTTATTGTTTGCCATTAAATAGGTATTATAAAATTTGTCAAACACTGTGTTATTTTTTTTAAATATAAAAAATATTCATCTAGAATAGATGAAATGAGGGCGGGAAGTGAGGGCGGGAAGTGAGGGCGGGAAGTAGAGGTGTGTAATGTGACACTTCCCAACCTTCAATGACGTTAGTAATGACAACATTATATATATGGTTGTAAATAAATAATATAAAACACATGTTGCAAAAGGTTATTCTCGCACTTATTCGTTCTTTCACTCGCTCCTTCGTCTCTCGTGGCCAAATGTCGAATTCGTGCGGGAATATGTGGTTTTCTGCAACTTGTATTTTAATATACTATTATTACAATAAAACCCCCCTCCCCTTCGCGAAGTAATATGACCGCCACTGTCTGGTTTTCTACTTTTATATTATGTATTAATGGACTAAAATCGTTATTTTTTTACAGAGACCTCATTCAATTCTTCTAGTAAGCCCGGTTAAAACTTGTTACATAAATTGTACTGAAGTTAGTCAAGTTTTTTGTAATGAACCTGTAGAGGGTTTGAAGGTAAATATAAAATGAAAATCTTTAGATATCTACAATATTGCATAATCTATAAAATATATACATTGTGCCACTTAGGTCGGCACCGTATAGGAAACTTATTATGCATGGTCTAAAACTTAAAAATCAACCTTAAGATATCAAATGTTTTCAGTCATGTATGAGGTTCGTCAAAAAATATGAATTTTATGCAATAGTTGAAAAGTTGATCAGAATTGAAATCTTCGCTCAGATATCCAATATTATCATCTACGAAGAAAAGATCTTTAATGCTTTTGGCATAATTACGAACTATACATTTAATTTTGCAAATCCTAAAACCGATTTTTCATGATAAATGAGATAATAGTCAATGCCTGACCGCAGTTGCAAGTCTGGTCAACTTTTCTTAACAACAATTTTGCATAAAATTCATATTTTTCAGCCAAACTCGTACATGGCTGAAAAAAATTGATTTCTAATGACTGTATTTCTTGTATCACAAAACTTTTTATGAAGAATAACTTTTTTCATAAAAATATATAAAAAGTTTTCTATATGGTGCTGATGTATATCGTATTTAAATATACGTTTTTTTTTTGTAGTTCAGTGCGGACCTGTACACTTTAATGAAAAGTACGACTGGGATTTTTGTAAGGAAGAAAATAGAATCTTATTCGAAACAAAACATTTGTGCCGTGTATGAATTTTTGATCGCCACAAGAATAATTAGTTTTTCGTAAGAATGAAAGCTAGCTGCTTATAAAACCAATAATATTTTTTCTACGACTCCTTACGAAAATACATCCATCGAATTATACAAATAATAAATAAGGGCAACTCTGAATTAAATCCAAACTGTTATGTAAAAAAAAGAAGAGGAATTGTACGCTCCTGTACGATCCGACTTGAGTGGTTTTTCCAAGGTCTACTTTAGAAACATGTTTTGTGGATCACTTCATATTTTGACAGTTCATAATTATTATTATTATTATTAATAAAATAAAAGAATGTGGAATAAAATCTAAACGCGTTTACTTCACTTTTATTGAATTAAAAACAAAAATAAATTATAAAAATAGTGTTACTGTTAATTTTTGCACACAATTTGAATAGAGAATGAAGGGACCTTTCAAACGAGGTATCATAAACTTCTACTTCCTATTTGCAAATTTTGGGTTTGCAACTGTCACTAGAAGGGAGTTGAAGGTAGAAGTGAAATTTTCACGTTGCAGGATGTGATTTTATAATCTAAAATTGACATATTACGAGATTTTTTATAAATATGCACAGTAATTAGTGAGCTAGTGAATGTATTCCATTTAGCTATTACACACTGTAAGTTTTAGTTGAGCATAAGGGAACAGTTTTATTTATACATATAAATGAAAATAGTAGTAATATCCAAAATTTAAATGTAAATCGCTGATCAATTTGTTAAAGTCGATTGAAAAAATTCCAAATTACAAATGTTTCACTGCTTCACAAATTCTACAGAATGTCTATGGTGTTGGAACAATAACACAAGAACTATTAAACCAGGGGCGGTTGCTCGATTGATTTATTTGTGCAATGAACACCCAGTTACATTTCATAACATAAAAATATGAATTAAGGGGAGTCTAACGCTCGAGTTTTGACACAAATGTAAAGAGTCGGCTCATAACAGATTACAACCTCATTTTTCAATAATAAAAGTTTGGGATGTCTAGAAAAACCAATTATAAAGGTTTATCTTGGAACAAATTGTTTAATTTTTTTCAGGTGTTGTTTTGGCAGAGTGCCTAAAATGTCGAAAAAAGAGCATTTTCACGACTTAATTTCCTGACTCATAGGGAAAAAATAAAAAAATCGTCTAAGATAAACTTAGATTCATTCCTTAACAATATTCTAATCAAAGAAAAAAATATTTCTTCAAAAATAAGCTAGTAAAACGTTATCAGCTATATCTTTACAAGCACAAAGTCAAGTGGCGGTAAAATGTACTTCCGTTTATATAGGCGGTGGCAAACTTTTACAAGGACAGGACAATTTTGTAATTTATTTTTTATACAGGGTGTATCTAAATAACACCAAAAAAATTAAAAAAGTGATTCTGTGATGAAAATTAATGTGAGTGTTTGGTATAAAATTTTTTGAAAAAACCCTCCCCGGAAAAGTTACACCCCTTCGAAAATAAAAAAAAATAATGGTTTTTCTTTTTTATTTTCCCTGTATATCAAGCTAAAGACACGAAACTTGGTAAACATTATCTATCAATAAAAGTACACTTTTTGAAATTTTTTCAACCCTGAAGTATGATTATAAGGGGTTGAAATAATCAACCCCTAAGATATTTTTTCTTACAACTTTTTTTTAGATGAAAATTTTTTCTTTAAAAAAGTATGACTGAAAAGCCCAATTCATTGACTAACTTTTTTAACTCTACGTTTTTTCTAAAACTTGAGCGTTTACGAGAAAAAAAATCTAATGCAATGCATTTTCAAAAAGATGAGCTAACGCGAGTGTATTTTGCGTCAAGTCTAGTGGCCTGTGCTTTGCATAAAAACATTAATACTGATACCGGGATTGTGTAGTGTCATTTTCTGTTACCCATCTTATTGTTTCACAAGTTTTATGATTGTGTATTGTAGGAAATATTAGTTGATCGAAAATATGAATGCATATTCGAATTTGGAAATGGCAGATATGCATTTTACATACGGTCGTGCTAACGGTAATTCATTGGAAGCGCAAAGACTTTATGCTGAACAGTACCTACAGCGTAGACTACCCCATCATACTACGTTCACAACTATTCACCGACGCTTGCGGGAACGTGGTAATTTTAAAAAAAGAAGTTATGATTCTGGTCGTACTAGAAAAGTTAGAACTGCAGCTGTAGAAGAAGCCGTACTTAATTCAATTGAAGAATTCCCAGAAACTAGTACCAGGAGAATAGCTCGTGTCCTACATGTAAGCCATTCCGTTGTTTTTAGAATTTTAAAAGAACAAATGTTGTATCCCTATCATCTTCAACGGGTGCGGGCGTTGATGATTCGAGATTTTTTACCCCGTGTGATTTTTTGTCAGTGGCTTATTAATATGATTGGCCAAGCACCACAGTTCTTAGGTAATATTTTATTTACTGACGAGGCGAGTTTCTCAAGAGACTGTATTAGAAATTTTCACAACAATCACCTTTGGGCTGACGAAAATCCTCATGGCTTTTTTGAAGGAAATCATCAGTATCAATTTTCATTAAACGTGTGGCTCGGAATTATTGATAATCATTTAATTGGTCCCCATTTTCTTCCGCTACGATTAAATGGTGAAGCATATTGTCATCTCCTTGAAGAATTACCTGTTCTTCTTGAAGAGGTTCCCATTCAAATTAGGCGACATTTATGGTTCATGCACGATGGTGCACCAGCTCATTTTAGTATACGTGCAAGAACTCACCTGGATGAGGTGTATGCCAATCAATGGATATGTCGAGGAGGACCTGTAAACTGGCCAGCCCGCTCCCCTGACCTTAATCCTTTGGATTTTTGCATATGGGGATATTTGAAATCTTTGATATACACAAACCCAGTTGAAAATATCGATAATCTGCGAAACCGCATTGTAGCAGGATGTGAAACTATAAGAAATTCTCCAGGAATATTTCATCGTATACGCAATTCTATGAGGAAAAGGGTAGATGCTTGTATTGAAGCTGAAGGCGGTCATTTTCAATATTTATTATAATTGTATTGTCGATATTCGACAGGTTTTTGTTCATTGTTTGTTCACTTTTGTTTTTAGTTGTAGAAGTCTTAAGAACCATAATTTGGTTGCCTGTTGTTCAATAAAATGCTATTTTACATGAGCTTATTTATTTTTTTCTCATAAATTTTTCGAAAAAAACTTGTAGAGATAAAAAAGTTAGTCAATGAATTGGGCTTTTCAGTCATACTTTTTTAAAGAAAAAATTTTCATCTAAAAAAAAGTAAAGTAAAAAAAGTAAGAAAAAATATCTTAGGGGTTGATTATTTCAACCCCTTCTAAGCATACTTCAGGGTTGAAAAAATTTCAAAAAGTGTACTTTTATTGACAGATAATGTTTACTAAGTTTCGTGTCTTTAGCTTGATATACAGGGAAAATAAAAAAGAAAAACCATTTTTTTTTTATTTTCGAAGGGGTGTAACTTTTCCGGGGAGGGTTTTTTCAAAAAATTTTATACCAAACACATTAATTTTCATCACAGAATCACCCCTTTAATTTTTTCGGTGTTATTTAGATACACCCTTAATCATATATCTTGTTGTGACTTAATTTAAAACAATATACCTACCTCATTATTTATTTACAAAAATACAAAGAAACGATGTTAGAAAGAAGGGAAGTCACATAAGTACTTTACTAACAAATAAAAAAAAAAACATCTATACGAAAAAAAAAACAGTTAAAGTAATAAAGCACTATCACAAATTAAATTGCATTAACGACATAGTAAAAAGTTTTCTAAAATAGGTAAATACTTAAAACTTAAAGTAGACGCTAATAATATATTTTTTATTTTCTTTTTTCTGTTTTTTTTTTACTATTGATGACTTCTAAGATATTTTATCAGCATGTTTCTAGCCATTCATGAATCGATTATTTCAGGAATCATACAATCGAACTAAAAATATCGTAGGAAAAGCTCCATCTTATTTAACAAAAATTTTGTATCCCTTACGATTGTTTCCGTTTTTAAACTGTGTAGCGTGTTATGTGTACTTGTCCTTGAACTTGATAGTACCATTTGTGGTTTTTATTAATATCGTTGTTATTCCAAACAAGTAATATTTTTGGTTTGAATTTCTTTTTCTGGGGTCATTTGCCTTGCAGGATAAGGGAATTTTATTTCAACTTGCTTCCTAGAATTTTCTTCATATATTGATACAATATTATATTCAAAAGTGATTGGCAGATGTTCTTTTCTTGTAAACAATCCCAAAGAGTGACGCTGTAAGCCTCTTTCCTCTTTCAACGTACCATAAATCGGAGGCATGTTGGTCTCTATGTAATTCTTCTAGTTTATTTACTTCTTCTGGAGTTTCCTTTAAATTTTCTGAAAACTTTATAACCTCTATTGATTCATAGTAAGAAAATTTAGTTACCTGTTTGAATAGCTATGAGGTATTTTCCCTTCTTTCTTCCACTGTAATTATAAATGAAACACATAGTTCGTATGTCGACAGCACTAATTGTTTGTCGACGGTTTCTAGATAAAGAGGGAGAGAGTTTCTTAATTACTTTTACACATAAAAATATTCCGCGGACTATTAGTTCTCCCCGATAATTTATCATCCCTTTTGAATAAAATATTTTTACTAGAAGAGTCTAACCTTCTTTCTGCAGCTGAAATAATTGTCCAAAGCTCCTGTCATCTAGGCTTCCTCATTTTTTTAAATAGTTTTAATTTTAGCAAATAACACATTCCATATCATAAATACATACACTTAACGCATGTGCTTAATACCAAAGACCTATGCGAAATTTATTCTATATGTAGGTATCCACTTAAACCGTTACTTGCCACTAACTTGCTTCTATTATTATACTCTTAAAGAGTATATTATAGGTTTACTTTCAAGGAACCAAAATTTTTAATATTCATCCAAAATTCAATTTTTTTGTACCAAAATCCTTCTCATCAAATTTTAAACAACTTTTAAAAATATCCGTCCGGGGTTTGAAAAATCATAAAATGAAAACGAAAACCAATATCAACTTGAAATTTTTAGGGAAAATCAAATTCTGCAATGGGACGAAACTTTTAAAAAATCCAATTAAACATGGGGGATTAAAGGTGGTTAAAATTAAAAAAAAAATCATAAATCAAAAACAGAAAACAATATTAACTTAAAATTTTTAGCAAAAATCAAGCTCTGCAATGAAACGAAGCCTATGATAAAAAATAAATCTGAATAAAAATGGAGGGGTTAAGGAGGGTTAAAACTTTAAAAAATTATAAAACAATATCACCTTTCAAAAATCAAGCTTTACAATGGGACGAAACT